CAATCTCACCCATCCATTTTCTTGATCAATGGTTAAAGATTAATCAAGGTTATTCAAGGAAATTAAAAATAAAAAAAATTGAAAATACATTTATAATACCGATAAGGGCAAAAGGGTAAAACCAAATATTCATTTATTCAAGAAAACCATATAATGTATATCATATTATTAATGAAACTAATCTATTTTTTGTAAAGTAATTTATTATTTTTACATTAACATTTATTATTATTAATGAAACTAATTTATTTTTCATCTTGCCTACATTATGCACCCGTTTCATTTTTCATTTCATCTACTGAATGGATCACCTACACCATCACTGAAACGTGTTTCACCATGAAATCAGTTCACCACTCATTGTTCAATTACGCCATAAACCAGTTTCACCTTCATGAAACCTGTTTCATGTAAATTAATTTTTTTATTTCACCATGAAAGTAGTTCACCACTCATTGTTTAATTACGCCATGAAACCTGTTTCATGTAAACAATGTTCTACACCATCACTGAAACGTGATTCACCATGAAACGATTTTATATTACTCATGAATCAATTACAACATGAACTTGTTTCACTTTCATGAAACCTGTTTCATGAACACTATTTTTTTTCATTTGAACCATAATTTACAATTTCATTCTATAATGCAATTCAATCTTCAAGACCCGTTTGCAGATTCAATCTCATAACAATATATCAAATTCAAATTTTTAATATTGTAATATAATTAAATATTTAAATGTTACCATTTATACAATTTCCTTTATTATGTTTCCTTAATTAAAATTTATTAATAACTTCCATATTTAATAGAAAATATTGTAAATGACCAAAATACCCTTATTGATTAAATTTAATTAAAAAAAAACTGGAATTTTTCTATTGGTCGAAATTGGTTTACACGGTTTCTTAGAAATGCACGGTTTTCATTTGAACGTGCCCCTATATATATATATGTGTGTGTGTATGTGTGTGTGTGTGTGTGTGTGTGTGTGTGTGTATTTAGTATTATAAAGGTGGGGGGATGGGATACCAATTTTTTTTTTTTCTATTTTACCTAGGTTAAAAATTAAATTTTTTAACTTTCTACCATATAGGGGAAAGCGTTCAAATAAAACTCAAGTTGTAAAACCCGTGAAAACTTCATTCAACCAATCATAATTTTTCATTTTGTTTATTTTTTTGTAATTATGAGAGATTGATTAACCATTTTTATTGTGAAAGGTGTTAATCATGAATATTATCATCTTCATTATTTTAATTTTAGAGAAATACATGAAACAGTTTCATTAAATATTATATGAAACAATTTCATAACCATAAATGAAACAAATTTCATCAAAAAAAGTATTATATGAAACAATTTCACAAGATTAAACAATTTCATGAAAAAATTTCACAAGATTAAACAATGAAATCGACGTATGAAGGTGGTTTGTACAGTTTTTACAAATGAGAGTGATTTTTCATTTGATCGCTCATCTCTCTATATATATATTGTTTTTCTTTACTAGACGTTAGATTTAAATTAAATTACGGTACTTAAAAAATTATTATTATAAAGTATCTTCTTTTAGTTTTGTTATACTTTCTATTTCAATACTATTGTATTCTGATGCCATTGTTATTTTGCTTTCGAAATTAAGTATGTTGAAAATCATTTATTTTTTCATTCCTACATCCTTCATCACCCCGATCCCTAGCTTTCCCTTCTATGCAACGATCAACAACCCCCTCCACTTGTTTTTTACGACGCTAAACCCCCCCTCTTCTTCTTCTTCCCCTTCTCCTTTAACCATTTATAGTCATGGTTTCTTGCCGTAACTGGAGTTGCAAAAATTCAACCTCGCTTCTAGAACCATGGATGTTTCAACACGAACTCAAATCTAGACCTGATGGCATCTTAAGCGAACTTGATTTGGAGCATGATATCATCTTCAACCAGGGGCGGTTTTAGTATTATAAAGGTGGGGGGATGGGATACCATTGATTTTTTTTTCTATTTTACCTAGGTTAAAAATTAAATTTTTTTTTAACTTTCTACCATAATTCCCCAAGTAATTCCCTATTTGTTCCCCCACCAACCAAAAAAACCTCTCGAAATCAATCAAAAAACCGAAAAGTCCCTCAAAATCGACAAAAAATACTTAAAAATCTCTCGAAATCAACCAAATAACTTTAAAAACCACTCGAGACAGTGAAAATAGACTAAAATCACATCAGACAACTTTGCGTGCTTTTAATCTACCTTAAAGATGTCCCACTAGGCAAAAAACCTGATCTGTCACTGTTTTCAACCAACTCAGAGCTGAAAGAGGTTTTTTTAATCATATAAAACTAGGTTTCTTAAACCAAATTTGGTATCAAAAGTTTTATTCCTTCAACTCTTTCTATTTAAATTAGGTTTTTGAGTTACACAAGTTTTGTATAACCATTTTTTTTGAATAAATTTGTATATTATTGATGTTCTTGAAGTTGATTGATGTTCTTAAAGTTGCAAGTTGCTAATGTCAATGTTTATAATGTTAACGTTGATGCTTGAGTTTGATTTTGATTTTTGGTGATTAAGGGTGTGTTTGACGTGTGATGTATGTGGGGGCAGGAGAGGGGATAATGGCTTGAAAAAGAAAACCAATTGATTTGGGTAATTTAAAGTAATGTACACGTTAAAGAGTTCTCATTATCAAATAAACCTAATTAATAGGTTTATAAATGTCAAAGAGTTTTATATGTTCAAAAAAACCAACCATAAAAACTTTTTTTTTATTAACATATCCAACCTGTTATGCGAGCGACTAATCCCAGGACGACCATTTGCTTTACAGATAGCCCAAAATCACCGCATTTGAACCTTCGTGGCCGCAAGGGGATTCTTATTCTTCCTTGGATTTGAACCTAAAACCTCCTCCTGATACTTTTAACCTTTGGAGCCAAGTTCGAACCAATCAGACACCACTCTTGTGGTTCAACCACAAAAACTTAATTACTCAATATCTATAGTATATAAATTAATCCAATTCAACATTTTATTAAAAGTCATCAGACAATTAGGGGCTGTTTACCAAATTTTCTATTAAGTCATGTATGGATAAATTTGTCTGTCTGGATAAATTTATGTTGTTGTTTACTTTTCTATCTGAATCAACAGTCTGAATAACAGAAATGACCAATTTACCTCTTGAGGATGAACTACGCACTGTTTAATAATTGTTGAATAAACCCAAATGGAACCAACTATTTAATCAAGTGTTTTAAACACAAAACAGTAGCTATAGYTATGTATTKAACCAACAACAATTAAYAGCAATAGGAAACATCAAACAGCATCAACAGCAACCATAAAACAGCAACTACACATCAAAAAAACCCAAAAATCGTTGAAGAACAGCAATGGAGAAGAACCTGTCGATCGATGGAGGAGAAGAGGGTCGTGAGCAATGGAGAAGAACCTGTCGATCGATGGAGGAGAAGAGGGCCTTCGATTAGGGTTCTGTGTCGATCGATGGAGGAGAAGAACCTGTGCGATCGATGATGGAGAAGAGATGTGCGATCGATGGAGGATAAGAGATGTGCAATCGATGGAGGAGAAGAGGCCTTCGATTAGGGTTCTGTGTCGATCGATGGAGGAGAAGAACCTGTGCGATCGATGGAGGAGAAGAGATGTGCGATCAATGGAGGAGAAGGGTAGGGCAGTCTTTTGGCCGGCTTAATCTGGACAAGTTCCTTCTTTCATTTGGGCGAATAAGCCCATTTCTGAGTGATTAAGCCCAAAATAAACAGCCTAGAAAGTCTGTGCAAATAAGCTCATTAAGCCACAAGTAAACAGGCCTTTATTCAAAGTTCAATGGATTGAATAGCTTAACAATCCAACACTGAATTGATGATTAAATTAGACCAATTCCACCTAAATCCATTAGATTTTTAACCAATAATGGCCCATATTTTCTCACAATACACCTATAGGTCCAGAAACCGAAAATGGCAAGAGATATAATCCCAAATTTTAATCAATCACAAAAATTTAAGCAAAACCTCCAATGCAAAAATCAACCTATCATCAATTAAATCCATAAACGGCAACAAAAAGATTGGCAAAGCAACCAAAACTTCCTACAATGAGTTATTACCAAGATAACAAGTACTCATAGGACTCAAATGCAAGTCAGTTCATTCTTCGTCATCCTCGTCAGCATCTCCACCAGCAGCCTTCTTTGCAGCTGCCTTCTGGTTCTTTCGCTTAACCCTGCCAGGTCGGCCACCGCCAAACGGACTTGTGAGTGAGAAGTCTATGTGCTTCTGTGAGTCCACTCTCACCATGAAGGATGGTACATTCACCACCTGCCTTCCCACCCTACAAATTAATCATAAATATAAAAGTGATGAATAACGGTAATAAAGAAGCTAATCTGAGACAGCAAGATCATTATAAAAAAAATACACGTGGTAGTGAATCTTGCATCCATATCAAAGAACATTTCAATTTTTTGTCCGATAGAATGTGTTTGGTATGTGGACAAGACTAAATAGACAGAAATAAAGTACGCGGGTTGAAAGAATTTTAAAAGGTTTTAGGGCTTTAATTTGACAGTAATTTATCAATCTTGTCCCCATCTCCCTAATTTTAGTTCCCACCTATTTAGAAAAAGAAGGCATTTTTGTCACACTAAGTCCTGTCCTGTCAGTGTAATGCTGTGCCAAACGTAGGACAAGTTTATGTATATTCATGTCCCATTTTATAACATGCACACACCCTCAAGGAAACAAAACTTCAAAAGACCATTGCTTCAATGATTTATGAAGATGACATATACAACCTCATCAGTGCTTGCAGCTGATAGTAAAGATGTTATACAAACCAAGTTTCAAGTGGGAAGCTACTTCAGTAAACCAAGTTTCGATACTAAAGCACCAGCAGAATGATCTTATATTCCTCTAGAATCGCATATAAGATGATATAAAATCAAATGATATATACAACAATCCTAGCATTGTTCTAGTCATATGACCACAATTCAGCAACATCAAATACTTGTAAAAATGTAATTGACATCACACACACAAGTACAAACCAACAGCTGAAACAATCACATGTGAATTTAAATGTACCTGATGTGTCTCTGCTTGATGAGAACTCTAGCATGGTGGATAGACTTGGCCATACCAGTCTTGAACACAAGTGTCTGGAGACGTCGCTCAAGGAAGTTCTCCACGGTAAGGGCCAGCACATAATCAAGCTTGTTCTGACTCTCATCCAAAAGACCATACCTGTTCATCCTCCTCATAAGGGCTTCACCCTCAAAAATCCTACGTGGGTCCTTCTCCTCAAGGGTCAAAAGCATTCTTGCGGCATTACGAATGCGACTAAGGGCATATTGCACCCTCCAAAGCTCCCTTTTGCATCGAAGACCATACTCTCCAACAAGCTTCAACTCAGCATCCAACCGCTCCTTTTCATAAGGACGACGGGGCTTCTTAAAAGTCTTACCATCTAAAACAAAATGTGAGTCCATTTGTGGTCAGTTTTTGAGTTTCTGAATACTTATTAACGCATTCAAAATACTGTTACAGAAAAAGGAAAACTACATTGTGTGTAATAACTATTGCATATTTCCATCTAATGTTATAGCTTCAGGGCCTAATCTTAGTATGCATATGAACCAGGAGCTATTAGATCATCAAAGCATAATCTAGACAAAAGTTTCGAGACAAGCACCAAAATAAATTAACATTGACTAAACAAATAATATAGATAAGCAAGAACTAAAGCAATTCCTTCCATTTCTAAAAATCAAACCACAAATTTTTTAGCTCGTTCAATCTGAGAATTGTATCGACACCAATACAAACTCTATGATCCTAAACAAACATACATCTTTTAGTCTTAACATATAAGAAAATTTACATCAACAAAACCCTAATTCAGTCTCCATTCCCAAATCTAAAAACAACTTAGCATTACCACTGTCACTCAATCACAAGTCTCAAAATAAACATATATTACCCTTCCAAACAAAATCAACATGAACAATGAATTCCGATGATCTAAAACCTTACACTAACAGATCAAAAGATATAATAAAATCATATACTTATAAATATATTTATAACAAGAGAGGAGTATGAAATTACAGTTGCGATAGAAGGGGACGTGAACCATTGTTGTTCGACGTCGATCCGGCGGCTACTCGATCGATATCTTGCTCTCGCTCCCGGCGGCCACCGCTGCTTCTGAAGTAGACGACCAGAAGAAAACCCTAATTTCAAATATATAGCAATAGGGCTGGGGGCAAAAATGACAATTTACTTTTTTTTATTGGGCCTGTTGTGTTGCATGTGGGCTATGTAAGAATTGTGATTTATGGGCTAAACTTACTTTGGTCTTACTTTAATGCATTTCCATTTTTACGATAAAATATAATAAAAATTGAAAAATTAAATCAAACATAAAATAGATGAAAACACATCATTACTTTTTGTATTTTTTACAATTTTTAATCATTTTTATTCAATTGTTAAACATAACATTAACAACGGTTGATGTTAACCACCATTTGCCTAATTGGTTTGAGTTTGGCTCTAGAGATAAAAAAAAATGTCTGGAAAGTCACAGATTCAAATTCAAAGAAAAATAGAAATTCCCTTATGGGAAGTTCAAATGCGGTTACTCTGGATTACGCGCAAAGTAAGTGGTCATCCTAGAATTAGTCGGCTCGTATAGCGGATTAGATATACTGGTTAATAAAAAATAAACTGTTGATGTTAATACATTTAATTCTTTATCTTGCTTCTCAATCAAAATTAATAATTTACGTTATAAGATGTTTAGTTGATAAAAGACTAGTTTTTGAAACCGTTTAACTATTATTTCACCTTAATTGTAGTTGTTACGAGTGTTAAAAAAACTTTAATTTACAAGAATGAACGGTTTTAGACAAAAAAAAAATACACTTATTGTTGCTAGTTGTCGGGTTTTTTCATTTTTTATGAGCAGATTACAAAAAATCAATATAACATAAAATACTGAAACAAGAATAAAAAAATTTGTCGGATATTTTTCACCGTTTAAGTTGTATTTTATTTTTAAGCATTTTGTTGTTAAAAACAAAATACGGCTTAAAATGCAAATTCAACTTCATAAAAATATTCCATCGGTTTATTTTGATTTAACAGACTTGAAACACGTATGACACTTGCTAAATTGGATCTTAAATACTGATAAGTGATACCGGCCATTTTATGAATCGGTACCAAATTGATATTTTTGGTCCATCACTTCTATGTTGAGAGAAAATTGATGTTGAAGATTCATTCATTGTTGGAGAGTTGCGATTTTTGGACAAGAATATAAAAACATACATGATTTCAATATGAACATCACCGATCACGGACAGAGGTTTCTTCAAGGAGAAATATGCATTCAAGAAGCAAACCGACAAAAGATGAAAAATATTGACTTGAAGATGAACAAAATGAGGTTCAGGTATAATTACGCTGGCACTACAAGACAAAACCCATGCCTAAAAGCCCAATTGGGCACATCAAAACAAAGTTAAAAGCCCTAACCAAAGGGTTTTGGTGTAGCGGTATCATAACATTTGGCCTCCTAGGAGGTCAGAGGTTTAAACCTCATCAAAGGTAAGGAGGACGACATCTGTATATGCGTTTATATTGATTTTCATTCGGGTATTTTGAATACCATGAACTCCTTTTTTAATATATACCCATGCTTTAAAAAAGAGTTGATCTGATCTCGCAACGTAACGATAACAAAAACAAAATATTACAACAATTTATAACAACCTTTGCAATAACCGGATAACACTCAACCTCATAGCAATTATCCTTGCAAATAAGACTTTTTGCAAGGGTATTCAAGCGTTTGTGATGGATAATACCATCACAACTGCGTTATTTTTTCCTACTAGGTCCAAAACTCAATATCCGTAATTATCGTCAAATATCGTGTAGCCTCCCCTCCGTGATCTTGCTTCTCTATCGGCCTACAAATTAAACCAAAAACTTGTTATCCTCTATGCACAATGACAACTACAGTAGAACACGACAAAAAATCGAGATGCAAACTCACCCTACTTATAAGCCTTTCGAACTCTTCAGTTCCATTTTCCGCGATATATTTCTCGGCAGCGGTTAAAATATCATCCGGTTTGCCAAAAATACCCTTCCTTCGCGGTAAATACCATATTTGAACTTTTGGGTTTTTGTAAAATGGTCTAATGAAATGCTTATAAACATAAGCAGCTCCATTGAAATAAGGCAATACCAACCAACAAGTAGCAAACAACTTAGCATATGGCCAGATTGGGAACCTGAATCAAGAACAATCTTAGTTCGTTATTTTATTATTTAAGTCGTCGTTATATTGCCGTTTTATGATCTAAACGGATAGGCCCCATTTCAGACCGTTACATGGATAAGGCTCGATCGTTTAGATAAGTTCAGATAAACCGAAATACGGCAAAAATAGAGTAAAAGAAGGGTTTATTTACCATTCAAGAAACTTTGAAAATGTAAGCTCAAAGAGGGTGAGTAATGAGTAGAGAACCCAATAAGTGAGCCATTGTTGGTCATCTGTTTGAGATCTGGTTTCTATGGCTTTGATTGAAGCATATCTGGTCAAACAACAAGATTCCATGAAATATCGATTGGTAAAGGATTACATTACACATAATTACGTGATTATGATTATATGCAGGGCAAATGATTGTGTGAGAATAAGAGTTCAGGTGAGAAGTTTAAGAAGAGATCTGGACCCCTTGATTACTTTTAACCTCAGCCCCATCCCATGAATTGCGCTTGATATGAGAATTGATCCGATGTATCTCGGTGTACCGTATTAATATTGATCTTCAATTAGGATTGATTCAAGGATGAAGATCCCTTCTTACCATTCTCATCAAAACTTCCATCCTCACCGAAATCCAACATTTACATATAGAGGATAGGGTTTGGGTGAGAATGGAAGTTATTGTGAGAATGGTAAGAAGGGATCTCCACCATTTGATCAATCATAACTGAAGATTAACACTAATGAGATACATCAGATCTATTCTTGTATCAAGCGCAATTCATGGGGTGAAGGCGAAATGAAAAGTGATAAAAGGGTCCATATCCCTTCTTACCCTTTTCACCTTAACTCCCATTCTCACACGATCCTTGTCTATATGTAGATGCATGCTTGTTTACAAATCAGTTTTTACGTGTTATTCCAAAATATGTGAAAATTCAGTGTTTATATAGTGTTTATTTCATATGTGAAACATTCATAACTGTATTTTGTGAATAGAAAAAAAATAATTCTGAATGTTTCACTTTTACATACGAAACAAACACTGTATATTTTTCACAGATAAAATAATATATGAAATTATTGAGTGAGGAGACCATTAAACCAAAAAAATCCCACTTACAGAGGATAGACAAGAGCAATCACTGGCCTGCCAAACAAAAAACAAAAAATCAAAGATTTTAGGGATCTTTTTATGATTTACAAAATTTATTGATCAACACTAACAACTGCTATGTTTTTTTTCCCCTTTCTGAAAGACAAAAATCTGTACTTAGATTTCAAAAATTTGTTCAACATTTTCATGTATAATACTGATTTCAAAAGGCTTTTGCAACAAGAGGTATCTCTACATTTTCTGGATAACCGTGGGTTTTCGGATCAGCTTACACGCACCGAGTAATCCTCGGGCGACCAAGAATGACCCGGATCGCAGATGAACCTCCATAGCCACAAGCAGCTTCTGGATTCGAACCCTACTATATCTCCTCTCTAAAGTTAAATCGGTACACCACAACTCAAGTGATTATGAAAAATTATCTCTACATGTTACTACGTTAATGCGAAAGCAATAAATACAAATATTTATTGGTGTTTAGAGATTAAACAGAGGGTTTGACCATAGAAATTACCCAACAAGGACATCAATGTTCTTGGCCACCACAGAGAAAAAATTTTGAGAAGCCATCTCCAATTTGTTTCAAGAAATTACCAACATGGACTTTTATAATGTGGGAAAATGGCCATCGCTTTTTTCAAAAGTAAATTCCTTTTAAAGTTTGAATTGCAAGTCGAGAGGTCTTTGCAAATTGTATGAAAAAGTAAAGTATTTTTAAAACTTTCGTTTTGGTACCTAAGATGTAAAGTTTTAAACATTTATGTATATGGGTAACCGGTTGAAGCATTAACCGGGTATCATGCTGATATGACGAGTGATGGGATGAAAATGGATTGAATAGCAAATAATACTAAGTTGGATACCACATCACTCGCCACATCAGTATGGTTATTAATGAAGGAAAAGTTTTCGGTTTTCTGAAAAATCATTATAATTACAAAAATCCAAAAATTTGACGAGTATGAACATTTTGTTTTAATTCTAACAATTAATAATAGTATTTTTGAAAATTAAATTCAAGTAAAATACTTTCAGGTTTATAATTTACTGAAATATTGTCATGTTCTGATTTTTTTTATTTTTTGCATTACACTAGTTTTTAAAAAATCAAGTATAATTATTAAAAATGATGGTTAATGATAACCATAAAATATTAAAGCTAAGGGGTTGATTGTTTACCTCTTAATAGTCGCATTAAGAGACATCATCTGAATTATTAACGGGTAAATCTTGTTTGACAATTTTTTTTTTGTCTCTTAGGGGTTGTTTGTTTACATCTTAATAGTTCCATTAAGAGGCAGCATCTGAATCATTAAGAGGTGAATCTTGTTTAGCAAAAAAAAAACATGTCTTTTAATGGTTCTAAAAGTCTCTGAATGATTTTGTATCCTGAGCACCCCTTAACCATTAAGTGTCTGGATTTCATTGTAAACAATTACCAAACAATTTTATTTTATTTTACACTATATCATGAAAGCCTCTTGATTATTCTGACCACTTAATCATTCTGCACCAAACAATTCAACAACTGCCAAACAACCCCTTAGTGGTTCTAAAACCCTCTGAATGGATTTGTATCATAGGCCTCTCTTAACCATTAAACGCTCTAATTTCATTGTAACCAACTAACCATTTACCAAACAATTATATTTCATTTTTCACTACATCATGAGAGCCTCTTAATCATTTTGATCACTTAATTATTCTGCACCAAATCATTCAGCAACCATCAAACAACCCCTAACACTGATACATATTTGATAATCTAGTTATATATAGCGAAAAGGGTAAATCAGGAATAACTTTATGCTTGCGCAACTATGTATTTAAGTATATAAATTAAACCGATAGTGTTTTGACCTTTTGTTTGTAACAGGAAAGTTCAAATAAAAAAGACAAATATGATAAAAATATAAGAACAAATGATTCATATATAAATTATTGAAGAAAACAAATGCAAGTTAAAATATGCTTTTTCATATGTGAATAATCGATAAAAAGGTAGGTAAACAAACACGAGTTCATATGTATATCTTTAAAATGGATTTAATTTTCGGATTTACCCAATATTCACATATGAATATTTTATTCTTATGTTTTTTTCACCAATTTTCACATTTCTCATTTGAACTACCTTGTTGCTTGTAATGATCGTAATGCTATTGCAAATCTTGACCTTTTGTCCGTATGAATCATGATCTAACGCCACATAAACGTTAACCCTATATCATTTAGAAAGAAAAAAAATCCAAAATAACGTCCTTCTGCTTATTAATATAATATGCTATCGAACAATTGTGCATTGTCGGTTTTACATCTAAAAGATGTACTTTTTTCAAGTATATGAAAAACAAACTTTCATTCAAGGATATATAGTTTAAAAAATTGTTAAAATGTTTGTATTTATAAAACATTAAGGCCCTGTTTGTTTTTACCTAAAAAGCACTTAATACCCTCTTATGTCTGAATCGGTCAGACCTTAGGGTATTAAGTGTGTTTGTTTTTTTTCAATTAAGAGCTTAAAAGCTCTGATTATGTCTGAATTATTTAGAGGTAATATTTTCACTTAAGACCTCTTAATTGCTTTTAGAGCTTCCAATGCTTGCAAATAAAGCCTAGATTTCAATGATTTAGATTTCAGATTTCAGATTTCAGACTTCAAACGTAAAAACAAACAGTCTGACTGATTCAGATTTCAGACTTCAGCACCACCTCTTAAAATTCAGAAGTGAATTCAGACTTCAGACTTAAGCACCTCTTAAAAAACAAACGTCACCTAAGAGTTTTATGACTTTTGAAATAATATTTTCTCAAATATAAAATTCTCAACAATAAATCTTTAAATAAATAATATTATATTATAGAGTCCCCGATGTATCTGTTAAAAGTATGTTTTTCAAAATGTCAAAATGCATCAAAATTCAACGAATTTGTCTTAGTTCCTATGTATACAACGACGAACGTGTTTTCTTAATTAGTGTTTTGGCCGAATTTTGCTTAGTGATGATTTTTGATTTGAGCTCCGACGATTAAACAATTATAAATATGTAAAAGGTAAGTAGCGAACGAAAAACCGATTAAAAAAATAAAGTATAAAACACTTGTGGTTGTTGATGCGGAAAACCCCTTAATTGGATAAAAACCGCAGGAGATCATGTATCACTAGTTAATATGTAAAGGCGTCGCAACCTCATACAATCAGTGGTTTCTTTTTGGCAACTCATCCATCCTCTGTATTTGTCCCTCGTATCTGATGCACTAGGACTGAAATCTCAAAGAGGTAGTCAGTTAGGATCCTGGAGTCTCACTTAATCTTTTAGTTGTCAGGGTTGTCAATACGAAATCCCTCATCGCCAACTCTCGGTCGTTACCATTGACGTCATTCTAGCAACGTCTTCAAGAGCTACCCTTTTTCGTAACGATAATGTCTCTAAGAATGGTTTTTCTTATCATAACAATTAGTAATGAACAATTGGTAATTAACATTTTTTTTTTGATTAACCTGGATATCCAACCCGCTATGCGAGCCGACTAATCCCAGGATGACCACCTGCTTTGTCGATAGCCCGAAGTCATCGCATTTGAACCTCCGTGGCCACAAGGGGATTTTTATTTCCCCTTGGATTTGAACCTGAGACCTCTTGATACTTTTGACCTTTGGAGCCAAGCTCAAACCAATCAGACACCACCCTTGTGGTTGGTAATTAACATTTAGCTATTCATATTCCATACCGATTTTGAAGGGTAACAATAAACCTTGTAATCATTGATGACATGGATTCAAAGTTGTCAAGATATAATTGTAGTTACTAATTACATGAAAAATGTTACATCAAAATCAACTAATTTCACATAGGCTAAAAACCCGTTTTTCAGCTAAAATGGTATAATTTAAAAATAATTAAACGTTTGTTACAAGAATACAGGAGAAAAAATTAATTGCTATACTAAACAGGAAACAAAACTTTATTACGATTTAATATTTTGCGTTTATGATAAATTAAACAGTAAATATGGATCATAATAAATTTCTTCTCGTTAATCCTATACTATTTAAATACGGGCAAATCTATCATAAGATAGCTACCAAGAATTTTATTTTTTCTCGAATACGACCATCTTGGTTTTTAATTGTCATATTTTTTTGACGATGACACATTTATTTTTAATAATTTATAATATTTTTAGGAAAATTGAGAGGGGATTAAAAAAGGTCAACAAAGGAATGTGAAAAGGTTCAAATATGAAAGTAAAAGTGGATTTCAGTTGGAAATTTGGGAGCAAATTTGGGGAAAAAAGAATCCAATGAGTCGCCAAAAAAGAGGCACCGAAAGAATTCAAGAAAAACCAATGTAAAACAAATTATCATCAATTATATTATATAAATATAAATTTCCTCTTGAAATAAATTAATTATTATATATATAAATATTATATGTTATAAAAATACGTAAAACATATGAAAGTTTATTTAGGATATATATACATGGAAAGTTTTTGAGAAGTAAAGAAGTGAGCATAATATTTTATTTGGTTAACATTTGCGTATTTGACTGTGAAGCATCGGATAATGCCTCGTATCGATATGTGAAAGTTAAAGGAGAAGTTTCGTAATTTTTACAAATAGACGGTAAACAGGTTCATATATGAACCCATGTGATACGCATATGAATTATATGTTCATATATAAACTCGTTAATTAGTTCACGTTAACTGATCCATATATGAATCCACAAGTTCATATATGAACCGGTTAATTAGTTCATATGTAAATCACATGGATTCACATGTGAATCGGTTAAAATAATTCATATGTGAATTACACGAGTTCACATATAGTTCATATGTAAATCATATAGGTTCATATATGAACCCTTTCACCGTCTATTTGTAAAAGTTACGAAATTACCCTTTCTATTTTTTGCATAGCTGCAATTTTACCCAGTCAAAGTCGTAATTGTTGGCAAGTCAAAACCACAATCATGGATCAGTCAAATCCGAACTTGATCATATGAAGGACTAGGATGACTTATTTACTTCTCAAATATTTACCACTTCTTAAAATAACATTTGGATATATATATATATATATGCATATATATATGCATATATATATATATATATACATATGTATATATATATATACATATGTATATATAGGGTTGGGTTCACTTGAGACCAAGGGCTTTTCGTGAGACCCATAAGACCAGTTTATGTTCATTGATCAACTTTATAAGCTAATGATCTAACGGTCTAAAGTTGCACGGTGACAATTTTGTGATTATTGAGAAGTCTCGTGACAATTTTATGATTATAAATGTTCAGATTATAGATCTAATCCGTCGATAAGAAAAGAGGTATTTGGTTGTCTTATACAGATGACTATTGGCATTTGAAATTATAAATAATTCTTTCTACCGTATGACTAATTTGATCTTGATTTTTGTAAGTTAAAATAGTTGGAAGTATGAAATTATTGCAACACAACTAATTATGTAGACACAATAATATACAGTTATTTAATTATCCATAACTTTAATAAATACTACAAATAATTATATATTTTTTATTTGT